TTAGGCTTTGAGGTTTATGTAGAGATTCACTGAATCAGACTCATCGCTTGTATAAACACATTACTTCAATGTGTTTACCTGGGGGGCTACCAAGACAACCTCACCTTTTTCTTGTTTTAGAGCCATGTGCTATCTCAGTGGAAGAAATGGAAAACCGGATGGTAGAGTTGAATGGGACTGCAAATGAGAACATATTGCAATGGGTGTACCTAAAACGTGGTGATTTTCTTGAGCTTCACTGCAAACCAGGATACGCACTTGCAACTAATTTATCTCAATCTACTTTTATGGTGCAGTGCAATGGAAATCCAATTGTCTATCCGGAATGCAAAGGTAGGTGGAGATGGGCTCTAGTGGGTATCTCAAATATCCTGCTTTCAGTAGAAGGCACTCTGCAATGATATGAATAAGTGAATGTGAAAGAGCTGCTTCTTTGCTCTGATTTCGCAGAGGCGAAAGGCTTCCAGACTGGATTTGTGTTAAGATAATTACATTTCAGGGGTTAATAGACTCCGTGAGGTAAATTCTCCCTGCTCCACTCTGCCCCCTCGAGTTAATCTAATAACCAAGTGGCATTTATTTGTCATATAAAAATTTTAAAAATGTAAATGAGTTACTGTCTGTAACTAGGCATATCTAAGGCTATTTCAGATGTTTCTGAATCTATTCAGAGAGTATTTAATGGCAGTACTCAGAGGCCTTCTCAGAAACACAGTGTTTGGAGCAGCTTTTAATAACAGAACTTGGCTCTATAATGGGAAAACTGAGTTTGTGCCTGGAGCTTGGTTTGTCGCTATTGGGTATGAAAGTGCTGGGAGTGGGAGCAGTGTTCAGATGGTATGCAGTGGTGGATTAGCAATTGGGGGGCCCTGGAAAAATGGGTGCCCCTGTGCCCCGTCCTGCAATGCCCACCCAGCATTCCTGCCAGGGGGTGGGGGAAGTCCCCGTTCCCCACCCTTGCTCCCTGGCAGGAGCACTGAGTGGGCAGAGCTGGGCAAGCCCCTGCACCCTGACCTTGCTCCCCGGTAGGAGCATCTACTTGGATGGGGGTAACTGCAGGTGGAAGGGGTGGGGCCCACTTGCTTTGGCCCAGGGCCCCACAAAAGGGTAATCTGCCTCTGATGGTATGGTCAACTGCTGGGTGTAACAGTTTGTAACTACAGGATAACACAATGTCCTTTAAATTTCTATGCTACCAGCCCAGAGACAGCATATTTACCAGAGCTGGATGAAAAATGAAGAAGCAGTTTTGTGAAAAGTGTTGCAATCTGATGGTTTTACCATTTTGCAGGGTTTGAAATAGAGCAATTTTCATTTTAATTCTTTTTTCCACAAAATATATACATTTTAATTTCAATATTTTGAATGTTGTTTTTTCCCATCAATCTTCCCCCCCCCCCCTTTTTTTTTTTTTTTTTGCATCTTACTGCAAATAAATGAATAATGTCCAGGGTTTCATCTCACTTTTTCCTTTTTCCACTCTGGAAATTTTGAAAACTTCTCCAACTTTGATTTTTCTACTTGTAACTATACAAAGATGATAAAAAGAAAAAGTGGAGGAAAAAGCCTTCAACACCATTCAAAATTTTTATGAAAAACTGGAAAAATTCAAACCAAAAAACCAAAACCAAACAACCAAAACTTTTTTGTGAAAGTATTTGGTTTAGAAAAAAGACCATTTCTCATTTAAAAGCAACAGTTTTGAATGAAACATTTTGAACAGCTCTGGTGTGTGTATTGCTGAATAAAAAACCAGTACGTCCACATTCTATTTGGCAACTTCTTAAACAGCATTACAGTAAAAGTAGGGGAGCACAGTAGGTTCCCTCTATGCAATTTCCATATGTTTTATTCAGAGATAAATCACAATAATTGCTGATGGATTGTACAGCCTACTGGCCTATTTTCATGTGTAAAATATATTTGTCTCATTCTTGTTAGAAATTGTTTGTGATCCTCCAGGAGTGGTTAATGGTAGATTCAGACCTCAAAGGAACGTGTATAGGAATGGTGATGTCCTTATAATTACATGTAATCATGGATTTCACATTAATAATGATCAAGATACAGCTGAATGCACAAAGAATGGCTGGTTGCCTTCTCCAGGCTGTAGCAGTAAGTTGCATTTATGTCTTATCTTGCTTAACAAATGTCAAAATCCAACTCAGTATACTAAACATATCAGATCGAGAATGCACTTGCTAACCTAGTATTTTTTAAAATGTCACTTGTGGGTACTTGGTCAGGTGTTTGGCCCTTTCCTTTGACCGTACATAGAACTGACAGGTACATTTGTATTATTTTATCATTTACATTTGTAGTTTAGTGTTTAGTAGTAGTTTTAAGCGTTGTTTCCTGTACCCTAACCCAGCACCCATGCCTGCATTATGCCGAAGATGCCCAGGTTCAAGATCTGTGCCTCCTGCCCGTGTTCCTTCTCTGTCAGCGATGAGTACCAATGCTGCCTCTACTGCTTGGGAGAAGTCCATATCATCCAGGTGCAGTATCTGCCTGTCCTTCCCAACCCGAGAAGACAGGGCTCTCTGCATCAAGAAGCACCTCTTGGAGGTCGCCATGAGGCCGCCATTGGGTCCAGGCTGTGGGATGCCCTCCCTACATCAGCCTGAGAAACCCAGGAGGGCGCCTCCAACCACAGAGATCAAGTCTGATTCTGGCGATACCAGTACTGCGGACCCCGTGCCAGGGCCTAGTCAGGAGGAAAGGAAGCAGGAGCATAAGCATAGCAGCAAGTCTTCCTCCAGGCCTACGAAGGATGATGCGCTTTCCATGAATTCCAGCCATGGAGAAGCAGTGCATTCCAAGGCTCACAAACAGGATAAGAAATCACATAGACTGGCAAATCTGCTGGTACCGAGCACCGAGACGTGCACACCTTCCATATCAGGCCCCTCTTGAGTCAAGGGAACCGCCAGTTCTTCTTGGAGTAGTGTCCTTATCAGGGGTGGCTCTAGCTTTTTTGCCACCCCTAGCACGGCAGGCAGGCTGCCTTTGGCGGCACGCCTGCGGGAGGCCCCCGGTCCCGTGGATTCAGTGGCATGCCTGCAGGAGGTCCCCGGTCCCGCGGCTTCGGCGTCCCTACCGCCGAATTGCCGCTGAAGGCGCGGGACCAGTGGACCTCCCGCAGGCATGCCGCCAAAGGCACGCGCTTGGTGCGCTGGTGCCTGGAGCTGCCGCTGGTCCCTATGGGTGCTCCACTGTAGGTGTGTCTACGTCCCTTCGCTGCTGATCGGAGAACTTTGGTAGCAGTGTCTGTTCAGCCCGCGTATGAGCTGCTCCTCGGCTGCCACGAGGCTAGTCAGTATGCGCAGGCAAACCCTCCTCAGTTCCTTCTCAACTGCCCCTGGCTAGAGATGGAGCTATCGCTGTCTGTTCATGGATTGTTAACTCTTTTAGAATTTATAATTTTTAGCTTCCCTCTAAGCCTTTTTTCTTTATTTATTTCATTTATATTTAATTTTGTTGCTGCCCCCCCCCCCCCAAAAAAAAAAAAAAAAAAAAAAAAAAAAGCCCCTCTCCTCCTGTGTGGGGGGGGGACTCCCCTGGAAAAGGGTATGCCCATCTCCCTGGGCTTCAAAAAGTGCCTCAGTTGCAAGGAATCTATCCCAGTGACTGATGGACACTCACAATGCGTTCGCTGCCTGGGAGAGAAACAAATTCCACAAAAATGTGGCTTGTGTCAGCAACTGAAGCTCAGATCCAGGAATGACAGAGAATTGAGGCTCAAACTCCTACTCACAGAGTTATCCCTCCAACCTCTGGAGTTCCGACAGGAGCCCTCACCACAACCCTCTACTTCAAAGGGAGGTGACCCCAGGGAGATGTCCATGAGCCATTCTTGTAAGGCCTCTAAGAAAAGGTCCGTGAGTCCCCATAGTGAGCCCTGATCAATGAAAATGATCTCTGGTTCAATCAGTATCATCGGTACCGACGGCACCAAAGCCATCTAAATCTGGTACCCAAGGTATGTGTGGTACTGAACTGACAGAGGAAGTCAGGTTGCCTGAAGTCCCAATGGGCACAGGCAAGGAAGCACCGGTATCATGGGGGTGCGAAAAACATAGAAGATCTTCCCCGGGGAAGACTCCATCAGTATGGATGTCAACATCTGTACTACTTGTGGTACGCCAGGCACCAACAGACCTCGCTATCGGGTACACATCTCCAACCCCTTTGGTAGAAGCCTCTTGGAACTGACAACCACTGCCAGTACCGACGCCCTTCGCACTGCCATATTTCCAGTGTGCGATGGATCTTTCAGTGTCTGATGCATTGGACTTGCCTCTGCTCAGTACTGGGGTCCCAGTACCGAGATCACCCAGAGCCCTTGACTCTCTGATGACTTCCTGCCGCACACCATCCCTTTTGTTGTCAGAGTCAGAAAGTGAGCAAGTGGACATGGTTTCCCGCCACTCTTCTCACCTACCATATAGGGCCCAGTTTCAATAGGAACAGCAGGGATATCGTCCCTCTGATCCATAGCCTCCCTGATTTGGTCAGCCGTGGTACCAACCATCGGGCCCCTTCCTATTGCAATGGCCATACTGGGAACCTTGGCAGCTACCTCTAGTGTGACCTACCACCAACCAAGGAAACACCCTCCTTCAGCTGCTGCCTCGAGGGCTTCTGAACCCCCTGAACTGGCAAAGAAGGAACTGGAGGCCAAAGTGGAGGAGG